ACCTTGCATGTAGCCTAGGAGATAAAGAGCTACCCTGTGGGAAATAATGCTGGCTGAAACATGTACTTCTCAAGAGTGACAGATGATAACTTCATTATTTTGAGTTTCTTAGGAACATGGCAACCTCCTCAGAGAAGAACATCTATGCTGGCATCCATCATTGAGGACAACCTGGTGTTGTGTCTCTAGCCACGGATGCCAGATGGTCAACGTTCCTGAGCCCCTCCTTCGTAGCCCACTAATCCCTATACCACTGCCTCAAGATTATGTATTTGTTTAAGGTGGTCTTTGGGACATCAGTCTGCCATCTTCCAATTCTGCTGGCTAATCAAATAAATCCTTTCCTTGACCACTGACTCATCTGCAATAGATTGGCTTCAGGGTTACAGCGAGAAGAATGAGCCCTTGCTCAGTTACATAGCCTCTTGCAGCCTGTAAGCTCTAAGGAAGGAGCAACTGTGCCTGTAGTGTTCACCACTGTGTCTTCAGCACCTGCTGGACATGAAATATTTGCTGAATGTGGTTGAAAAGGAATTGGAGGCCCTCTGGATCCCACTGTCACATCCTCAACTCCGCAGAGGAGAAACGCAGCAGCAGGGTACAGAGGGAACATGAGCTAGAAATTCCCACCAACATTCTTCTAGATCCAAATTCAACAGAAACAGTCTAGCTTTCTGAAAGAAGCCCACAGCTAACGATTTATTGTTTAGTCAGGCTTCCCTTCTTTGCCCTTCCTGGTCTGGGCTCAGACCTTCCTCCTAAGTGTTGGCGTAGCTCCTCCTCAGAAAACATCATTCTTCCTCCTCAAGAAGGTCGCAGAGCTGAGGACCAACGTGGAAAAGTTCTATGGGGAAGGAATAATTCATACAACCTTCCATCTAGACCAAAGAACCTCTCGTTTAGTGTCTCTGCTTCCTATACACAAAGGGAGACTGGGACTAAGGAAAATACCTTCTCTTTCTTACCTGTAAGCCACAGGTAATTCTCATTCTGGACTCACAAAGGTTTCTCCTGCTTCCTGAAGCCAGGAGATACCATGGAAAACCACTTGGAAAATAAAAGGCTATCTTCTAGCAGGTGTCATCCAAAATGCTCTGCTCTTTGAGAACTGGAGAGATTGGATGGGGTGAGGAAAGAAGAAGAGACAACAGAAGGAGGGGGATGAAGATACTGGAATGAGGAAAGCAAGCAAACTACAAAGATTCCATTGGTGCAAAATGTTCCGATTTTCCCTGCTGATAAACCCTGGGCAACACAGCTCACTCCCTCTGGAGCTAGAGCCTCACCTGAGCCTCCTCGCTTTTGGTAACATGGCCGCCGCAGTCAAGGCTGAAGTCTGCAGCCCTGTTGCTGGTTGTTGCTGAAAACCGTGGAAGCTGAGCACCTCCACTCTTCCCAGGTCTAATCAACTCCTGGCCACCGAGGCAACTCCTCTTACCCCAACTAACCACGTATACTCAAGGCACATGAGGCAAGGTTAACTTAACATGAGCACTGGGTCACAATCAGACATTTTATCAGGCGTCGAAACATAAAACAAAGAAATTCTCTGTGCTCCTGAGAGTCTCTGTGTTGCTGCTCTAGCTAAGAGGCAACAGGGCATCAATGGATTGTGAGTCAGAAAACACAAATATTCCATCATGTTCTACCCTGCAGGAAGACCTCAGGCGAGTCATTTAAACCTTTTGGCCTGTTGAGAGTGACAGAGACACAGAGAGAGAGAATGAATTAACATAAAGTCCCACCTGCCTCTAGAATTGTGTAAATCTAGAATAGTAAAACCATGTTAGTGTGAGAAATGTTATAAACTCCAAGTTCCATAAGGCCCCTTAGTAGCTATGGTTTAAAAAAACTGATCAATCTATACTAAAGATGCTATCAACCCAAAAGAAAATAAAGGGAAGAGCCAAACTCTAGCAACCAATCTCCCCAATCTTACTTCACTTTGGTTTCTTTCTTTTTTTTGTTTTTTTGAGGAAGATTAGCCCTGAGCTAACCACTGCCAGTCCTCCTCTTTTTGCTGAGGAAGACTGGCCCTGAGCTAACATCCATGCCCATCTTCCTCTACTTTATACGTGGGATGCCTACCAGAGCATGGTGTGCCAAGCAGTGGCATGTCCGCACCTGGGATGCGAACTGGTGAGCCCCGGGCCACCGAGAAGCGGAATGTGTGCACTTAACCGCTGCGCCACCAGGCCAGCCCCATCGCTTTGGTTTATAACCAGCAGAATTCAAGCACCAGGTAAATTTCTTTATTCTTATTATTAGTTTGCAGGGGCCTCCCACAGATGACAAAACTATGCTAGGTTGTCAGGCACTTCAGTGTGGTCCCTTATGAACAGGCTGGCTTTCTACAGCTACAGCTCGTCGGGGCACCTGGATGTTGATGCTCTTTTCTCGGCCTGCCCAACTAAACAGCTCAGCATCACCCTTGTCTGGCGGGAGACTCCTGTGTCACAGCTCCTCTGTGTCTCCTTTCCCTATCCCTTTACTCCTCTTACACATGAGGAGGTCATTGTTGGCACAGGGGACTAAAAATTATCCATGGAAAAGTTGTTTTCTGACACCCCGCCTCCCCAGCTCCAGGACCAGCCCTATGGTAAGGCTTACACTGAAACAAATCAGAAATATACATTTGTGATCTAAGGAAGCAAGAAATGGCGGTACACAGCTGTACCAATCGTAGGGTACTGGGATACAGGCACGGCCAAGGTCTGCAGCAAGAGAGACACTCGCCAGCAGAAGGGGCGGCTGTCAACTGTAAGTCTGAAACCAGGACTGGGAAAGAATCTAAGGGCATTGACATGTCTATAACATTTGATATCCAATGTTGAGACTAAGTAGAATATAAGCTGGCCTTTGGGAATGGAAGCTCTCTGGGAATCAGAAAGTAAACAGCAGCAGCTATGAGACAGGATTCGGGAAACCAGGAGGAAAGTCTGGATCCTGCTATTAGGAGCTCCCCAAGTTCCAGGGCATTTGGACTCCTGAGTTTCACTGTGAGAGAAACACTAACCGAAGGGATCAAGAATAGAATAGGAAGGGAAAAAGCAAGATCCTGCCTAAATTCTGATGGGTGTTTCTAAACTACTGTATTATCTCAGTGAAAATATAATAGGAATAGCCTCATTTTAAAGTCAATACTACTACAAAAGAGGCAGAATAAAGAAATCTAGCTGACAGGAAGCAGGCTACAGGAAGTAGCCTGGTCATACTGCTAGGCTAGTAGCAGTCACATACTAGCCAGAAAGCAAAGACTGAGCCACACGAAAGCAACTAAGCACTGCCATCGTACCCAGGTCTCTCTGTGACATCAAGAGGGGCCTGGAGGCGATGACAGCAGTTGCAGTTACCCGTGCACTAATCTCTCCAGTTATACATTGTAGTCCGTAGGCACTCATATTCTGGTAAATATCTTCAGACACATGGGCTCTGTTTTAATCTGAGACAACTAATTTATTGAATAGTCATGATAAGCTTGAGCATTGTACATACGTTATACTATTTAATCTCCATAACTCCATAGGCTAGGTAGTAACATCCTTTTCAAAGAAGAAACAGACTTAGGGAGGCTGAGTAAACTCTTCAATGCTATTTAGCTGGTAAATGGTAGAGCTCGTATGTGAACTCATGCCTACGAGATAGGAAACCGAATTCTAGAAGTAAAGAGGACGTGTAGGGCAGCTCTTATAGACAGCAAAGAAAACAAGACACTGACAACGTAAAAATATCTAGATACAAATCTCTCTCTCTTTTTTTCCTAAAGAGTCTGGACCCTAAGTCACTAACTTATAGCATTGGGTAGGGGGAAAAACTTAGAATTGGCAAGAAATATGATGTGGCTTTCACAGAAGACTCAGAAAGAATATACCTCAAGAAGCTGAAGGCACCTAAAGGACACGATCTTTGCTCCATCTCATGCTACTCAACCACGCCTGCCTGACAGAGAGGACCAAGCAAGAACCTGGACCAGAGACGGTGAAACCAGGCAAAGTGAGAAAGCAGGTTTCCTTTTGTTCTCTCTCCATTCTGATTAGGCAAAATTTCACATTACCGGGCTGGGCCAGGCAAGCATGAAGCTGGAGTTTTCGGTCTCGTTTACGAATAGATTAAGAAGAACTTATTAAAAGTGAATCAGGCAGGTTGAAAAAGTTATCAATAATTCTCTGACAAGAAACAGAGTGAGTAGGGGCTGGCCAAGTGGCACAGTGGTTGAGTTTGTGCCCGTCGCTTTGGCAGCTCAGGGTTCATGGATTCAGATCCCGGGTGTGCAGCTATGTACTGCTCATCAAAGCCATGCTGTGGCGGCATCTCACGTATAAAATAGAGAAGACTGGCAACAGATGCTAGCTCAGGGCCAATCTTCCTCACCAAAAAAAACCCCCACACCAGAGTGAGTAATCCAAAGATATGGTGGTACAATTCTCTACCTCGTGATTTACTGTTCTATTTCTAACTGGATACAATAAAGAAGTGATATATTAAGTAGATGGACTTACTTTTTTTGTGCCCACCCTCCCCAATTACACTGTAAGATCAGTGTGGGGAAGAATTATATCTTAAAACACTTTTTTTTTCTTCTTCTTCTTCTTCTCCCCAAAGCCTCCCCAGTACATAGCTGTATATTCTAGCTGTGAGCGCCTCTGGTTGTGCTTGAAACACTTTTGCAATCAAAGACTCATAGAGAATAAGGGACTTGATGATTATTGACTGATAAAAGCATCTCTAACACGAACATTTGTAAAACAGAAATAAATATCCTCCTTTCTATATACTGATACGGAAAAAGGAGGAAGGAATGATCTAGAGAACACCACAGTCCCTAAACAGCACGTCTGGGAGAGCCACGGCTGTTCCCACAGCCTCCCGCCTGCCAGTGCCTCGGACAGCACGCTCCTCCCGACCAGGCACAGGGACACCCCGAGGCCCCGGGCGCCACCTCCCCGGGAGTGGGAAGCGCTGTGGCCGACAGGGCCCGGTCCCACCTGACACGCCCTCACCTTCCACGGGGTTGGTTTTCAGCCTGCTGCACAGATTCGCCACGCCTCCGTAGTGGGCGTGGATCTGGTCTATCGCGTCCCCCGAGCGCAGCTCCATGAGCTTCCTCAGGTCCATCACCGTGCAGCCAAAGTCCCCCTCGCGGCTCTCGCCCGGCGAGTTGGCCGGCAGGGCACGTTCTGCGGGGCTCGTCATGTCGCCGGCTGTCACCGAGCCCTCGGACCGAGAGGACGGGGCTTCCCTCCGGCCGACTAGGCTCTCTGGCCTCCCGGCCTCGCTTCTTCCTACCTCGTGCTTCTCTGGGGCCTGGTCAGGAAACAGATCGACTGGATCTTGTGCAATAAGCTTCAGAGCAGCAGCCTCAAGCCCAGATCCTACTTTGCGTACGAAGCTTGGCAGTGAGAGGAGGAGGAAGATGGGGGAGCCAAGTGGAAGCCGGACCACGCGTCGCGATGATTGGTGTCCCCAGGTGGCGATGGAAGCGGCCGTCCAGGGTAGGTAGGTTCCTAGCTTAGACTGACTTGCCCAGATGGAGGTGTAAACAGGATGTGCATGTTACCATGGAGGCAACCTTAGCAACAACCAGCAACCGCGGTGGTAGAGAGGCGGCAGGAGGAGGAGGAGGAAGAGGAGGGCTCCCTGGATACTGATGACAACTGGATCTCTGGAGCAAAGGTTCAAAGAGAGACAAAAAGAAACCGTCAGAGCAGCCAGGGGGGTCCAGCATCTGCAAGGGCAGAAGGTACGCATTCCAGCACCAGGGCTTAGGGGGCAGCTGGGGCCCGAGCCGGGGAGCTGACTTAGGAGAGACCCCTCCCTCCAAACTCCAACGTAAAGAAGTGATTTCAGATATACCCCAGTCTTCATACCTCACTTCTCCCAAACCAAATCTTACAACTCCCAAAACTTGGAAATAAAAGGCTATGACCTCTAACGGCTCTAAAGCTCCCCCTGTCTGTCTATTTGGGGGACCCCTTACAGAAGCCTTTAGTCTGACCTGACCTCTAAGAGGTGAGAAGAGCTCAGAGACGGGGTCCGGACCTGAATGATCTGGGGGGCAGCCTGCCAGTCGGCCAGCCTCCCCCAGACCCCGCACCCTTCCTCGCTGCCAACCCACACTTACAACCGAACAGGAGAACATGATACAAGCCCAGCATCCAGCCTGCTGCCGCTGTCAACGGTCAGGCAGCAAGTCCAGGTCTCGAAGCCAAGCCCCACCCCCTCCAAAAAGCCTGGCAGGAAGGGGGGAGCCAAATATCGTTTTTACATAAAGAGGACAGAAGGATCTCTGAGGAGGAAGGACAGTGAGTTTGAAGCCTGACTTCAAGTTTCCCTGGGGCAGGGCGGCAGCGATAAGACAGCTCTGAGTCACAAAGAGCCTAGGGCCACAGTAAGCTCGGCAGGGAGCAGTTGGCCTGTGTGTCAGCACCCAACGGAGGGTCTCGAATGAGCACTTCTCCTCTCAGAAAGGCATATGTTACCGCTCATACATGCTGCCTGGGGGCAGGGCGGAGCTACGAGTAGGTGAGGGTATGGAGGGCCAAGGGTGGGAAGAGGGCTTAGTTCTCAATTTCAGAGAGGGCTGCTGTATGTCACGCAGGAGCCATTGCCAGACACCAGCTCTTTAAACGTGAAGGGGCTCTTCCTGAAAGCAGCACCAGGACACGGGAGGCTAAGCCCTGGCAGACAGTCCCCGCTGACTTAACTTCAGTTAGCAGGAGGTGGCAAGGAGCTCTGGTCAGCCTCTCTCTAATGAAGAGATGGCATCCTCGCTTCTACAAGGTGAACAAAGCAGCACAAGAACCATCGGGTAAGGACTTGACTCTTTTATTGATTACTTTTTTCCAAAAATCACATGTGGCTAAAGTTCCTGCTGATTCCACATGATCCCTGTTCTCGGCTGCGATGGAGGTGGTCACACCCCTCCCTCTCCAGATTTGCCCTCTGCTGCGTCCTTCTACCAGATTGTTAGAGCCACTCTGACTTACAAAGGTTTAAGGAGCTGAGTTTTGTTTTGTTGTTGTTGCTACTGATTTTTAAACATCATACTCCCTTTCTTTTTAAATGTCATCAAAGAATCCTGCGGGGAGGCCCACCTGGTGGTGCAGCGGTTAAGTTTCCACGTTCTGCTTCTCGGCGGCCAAGGGTTCACTGGTTCAGATCCCGGGTGTGGACTTGGCGCCACTTGGCATGCCATGCTTTGGTAGGCGTCCCATATATAAAGTAGAGGAAGATGGGCATGGATGTTAGCTCAGGGCCAGTCTTCCTCAGCAAAAGAGGAGGATTGGCCGTAGTTAGCTCAGGGCTAATCTTCCTCAAAAAAAAAAAAAGAATCCTGGGGAACAAGGAGGTCTGGAAAGAACCTGAGGCAGCATAGGGGTGGGCAGCACCACAGAATTTTCTCTCCAGTTCAGCTTCTTCTCCAAGCCTGGAAGCAGTGAGAAGGGCTAGAGCAGTGAGAAGCCCATCTTGACCCTTGAGTAGAACTCCTTAACTTTTCAAGAGGATGTTGAGAAGAGTGCTGATAGAGTGCTAATCTGGAAATCAGAAGATTTTACTTTTTCTGTCTCCACCCACTGCAACATTTGTTCCATGAAGGCAGATACTTTCTCTTGTCTTGTTCACTCCTTTATCCCCAGTGCCGAGAAGAGAACCTGCACATAGTGGGCACTCAGCTAAGTTTTTGTTGAATAAGCTGTAGCAGATTCAGAACCAGGTTTACCATCTTCCCAGGTGCCCTTTGGGCAAGTCACTCTGCCTTGTCAGGGCTCAGTTCCTCCCACCTCTACCTGGGGAAAGAATCAGTTCTGCCTTCTCACACCATCCTGAGAAAGTGATAAAGGAATGGGATTAGACAGAAACAGTGCTCGGAAATCTCAGATGAAGGATGCCCGGTGTCCATTATAGGACATGCGAGTGAAGGTAGAAAGCTTACTCTGAGCTTAATGAACTTTTGCTATCTAGCCCTTTGAGCAGAAGAGAATAAGATCCCTGTGCCCCTTCACCTTTCCTTCCTGGGGGGATCTCCCACCCCCAAAAAAGAATGGAGAATTCCAAGGCAGCTTTCCTAGCAATAACCATTAGCTTGAAGATAACCATTAGCAATAACCACTAAGCTATACAGCCTTGGGCCTCTAGAGAAGAAGGGACAGTCTGAGTCAGAATTCCTTACTCTGAACCTCTCCCTCAAGGTAGCAAAGAGGAGAGATGCTTCCATTCATATGGGCAACCAATGAGAAAAGGTCACTTAAGATCAGAACATCTGAGGCACATCAAAAAGAATGAGAGGTTTCTCTGCTTCAGGCTGCTTTAGAGACACACACAGAGGTCAAGCATTAAGCTGCAGGCACAAAGTCTGAGGGGCAGTGCCCAGCTGGGGCCCAGTTCACGGCGGGATCTCCATGAAAGTCTGTCAGGAATTCAGAGGTGTGGTAGGTACCGACACTCCTCTCTGAGCTCTGAGCTCGTAGAACATATGAGCTCTCTGTAGCTGCTGAGCTTGCCTAGCCCCTAACCTTATTAGGCAACTGGCAAAGACTAATGCATCGATGCTCACGTGGCCTCAGTCTCAGACGTCTGGGAGGTCCCTCCTGACTGGTCAGGATTAGTCACTCGGCCTGGGGCATTCTGGGGAAGGTAGGCTCTTGCTCGCTCTGTTTCCAGCACTTTGCCAGCCTAAGGGATGATCGGATGGAAGAGCGAACTTTCTCATCCTTTCCTGCAGGGGCCAGAAATCATATTACTTTACATGATCATTAAATCATTTTAATTTTTTTCCTCCTAAAGTCCTGTAACATCTGTTCTACAATCGTAACGACGTGTGAAAGCACTGTCACACCAATGCTGGGGAGGACAGCTGTGACCCCCACCTTACAGACGAGGATGCTGAAGTCCAAGGAGATAAAAAGTGATCCAGTCTTTGACTGCCTGGGGCTCTTTCTGTTACACCTCCCTCCTTCGCCTCCTTTGCTGACAAACATCTGAGCACCCCTTTACAAGGCAGGCCTCTCTGGGCACAGACAGCACCCATTTCCATATGGAGGGAACGCTCACTGCTACCCTTGCTCTTTCTCTTTCAGAATCAATTCCAGCAATGAAGGTGAGACAGACGCGCTCTCGCCCCCACACGTACCTGGAAAGCAAACCAGCCCACTCTTCCTGATAACTCAGTCCGCAGCTGGACTCACCAGCAAGTTCCAGAAACACAGAGCTGCCAGAGGCAAGAACCTCATGCCCTAAGCCACCAGACCACAAACAATAGTCAGACACTCTGTTTCCTCCCATTTTGTCGAAAAGAATCCATGGAAACTTTTCCGTGGTGCTAAAGAGGAGATATGTCCCCAGATGATGAGGAAAAAGGGTAACTCCCAAGTCGGGGACAAATAGGGAACTTTGAGGACCTGAGAGGAACCCACCCCTGAATGTGCCCTGCCAAAGGCTCCTGCTGGGTCTGGCGCTCGCACAGGCAATGAAGTGTGAGTGGAAACACAAGAGAGGAAACAGGAGGGGCCAGGGGCCAGGGCTCCAGGCTGGCACGGCACTGCAGCCGGACCTGCCTGGAATAATAAGCAGCTGCAGGGGGCGGCTACTCAGTGGAGCAGGCTCTTGTTCCCTGCCCTCTTCACTGGGCTGGGAGCAAGCTGGTAGCACTCACAGACACTCTGGTTAGAGTGCCAGTGTCACTGCCATGCAGGATGTGACAGGTGAAGAAGGGAAGACCTTGGGGGTGCGGGGGAGCAGGCTGGTCCCACCTTAGAATACACCAAACTGAACGACGGAACCTGCTTCAGCACCCCAGCCCCCTAAACAAACACACAAAATCTGTTCTCTTTTCTCTGATACAGAGGCTCCTTCCTCCCAAGCGCGGGTCTGTCTCTCCCTATTTTCAGGAGTGGGGGTAGAGTAGGGGGTGGGAAGGGAGGGAAATAATATCTGCTGAGAACCTACAATGAGCCAGGCACCATAGTAGGCACTTTATGTGAAAATTAGACAAATCATATATATATATATGTATGTATCACACACACACACATATGTATTATATAGTGCCTAGTACAGTGGCTGATATGTAGTGGTTGGTCCATACATAGCCATTATCAATTATTATGTATATTGTTTCACTGAATCCTCACCAACAACCTATAAGGAGAGCATCTCATTTTGTAGCAGGGAAATAGAGATCCCGAGAGCCAGGATTTGTGCCCCAGGCTGAATCCAAAGCCACCCTGCCTCAGGTACAGGGAAGCCTGTAAGAGAACGGAAACCAAGCTATGGATTTACTTCCTAAAGCTTGATGAGAAGGCACACATTAACCTGTCTGTCCCTGGCCCACGGCCCCTCGAGGTTCTGAAACAGGCCAGGGAAGCACCTCCTCACCTCTTCGAACATTATGGGCAGGTGTAGGGATAGACCCCCGCGGATCAGGGCAGACACTGCCCACTTCATCCCCTCCCCCCCATACATCTGTAGCTCCCAGCCAGGACACACCAGGCTCTGGGTTGGCGCGATCCCAGGCATATCCAATTCCCACCAGGAGATCCCGGGACGGGGAAGAGGGCTTCCTCCACTCTATCATCTCATACCCTTGGCCTTGCGATCCATAGAGACTTGGGAGATGCCCAGAGAGGCCCTGTTCTAGCCTCTCTCGTCCTCCAGCAGGGGCACTCTCTCACCATCACCCACAGTTCCTTCAGCTCTACTCCTCCTCTCAGGCACTCCCATGCTGCTAAGAGGGTCATGTCCTGCCCAGAAAGCTGGCAAGCACCTGAACGGGGCAGCCAGCCTCACCTGGAACATCCGGCTGCCCCTTCTCTGAAGGTCTAAACCGCACACAGAGGCCGCTCTGCTCCCTCCTCATTACTGGCCCCTATTTCCAAGACTTTCCAAGACCCAGAGTCTAGCCCTCCCTGGCCAATCCCGCCGCTCAGGTCCAGCAGCCACCCTCGCTGTGGTCCCCGCTTTCCCTTCCCTCCCCAGGGCCGCCTGCCCTAACCGCCTCTCTAACACCTGCTGGCATGCAGGAGCAGACTCAAGCACACATCTTCCCCTTCAGTCTACTGAGGCCTTTGGAAGTGCACAGAAGAAGGTCAGAGGCCGAGGATGTCAGCTAAAGTTCAGGTGGTGGGGAGCACCACCTGACATCTTCAGCAATAGCTATGCCCATGCCAAGAAGGCAAGTGCAGGCTGGGCACCAAAACTAGGCCTCTGTACCGGCCACAGGATGGCACGCTGTGGCCTGTGGTCTTGGTTCTGGAACCTGATCCTGATTCTCAGCCAGCCCCTAGGACTTGGGTTCTGGAGGGTACTTCCGTTCTGAAGAGAGAACATCATGTCTTGGTTAGCAGGCGGTACATATGGGGCTCCCTTGCTCCCCCTCCCCCTCCCTGAGTCTGCTATCCTGTGAGCATCTTCCTCAATTCAGCAGCAGAAATGTAGTGCCAGAATCAAAGCATCCATCTGGAGAAAAAGTATTGCCCTCAACCCCTGGGTCTCAGGGATCCAGGATTCATCCCTGGCTCCTCCAGAGAACCACCTGGTACTTCTTAGCCACACTAAGTCTATGCATACCTGGACCCAGTCACCTACTCCTGGGTGCATCTCCCAAAGAAATTCTCACACGGGTCCAGAAGGGGGCATGTGCCAGGCCATTCACCGGAACATTATTTGTGGTGATAGGGAGAGGAAGGCCACCAGGGATCCCCTCTCCCAGTGATGGACAGGTAAACCATGTGCACTAGATAACAGGGGCTATTATGTAACAGAAACATAGATCAGATGTACACAAGACAAGATGATCTTAAAATCAGTGCTCAGGAGCCGGCCCCGTGGCCGAATGGTTAAGTTTTTGCGCTCCGCTGCGGCATCCCAGGGTTTCACTGGTTTGGATCCTGGGTACGGACATGGCACCGCTCATCAGACCATGCTGAGGTGGCGTCCCACATGCCACAACTAGAAGGACCCCCAGCTAGAATACACAACTATGTACCGGGGGGTTTGGGGAGAAAAAGGAAAACAAAACAAAACAAACAGTGCCCGTGAGGAAAAAGGTGTTTCAATAGCTTTTACACAAATTAAAAACACACATCTAAAGCAATGCTATACATTTTAAGGGACATATTTAAACAAAAGGACACATATTGTCACACTAAAATGCTGCTCACAGGCCAGGAAGGGTACAGACGTGGGATATGGGGAAACAGCAAGCACAGAAGGGCTCTGCACAGACCAGAGATGACAACGGGCCAAGCAGCCACAGGGTGATGGACTCAACCCTGCACCCCAGGTCCAAAACAGAAAATAAAACAGACCATGACGCTGAAACCTTTCAGACCTGGAGGGGCTCTACTGTCTAAGATATGCTGTGACAACGATGACAAAACTTATCAGTTCTGGCCAGACGCCTTCAGGGGGCAAAGAGAAGGTAGGGCCCATATATAGCACACTTTCTCCAAACAGTCACACCAAGAATTGACTCAAGGTTGACAGTCTGTACCCGATCATCTGGCCTGTTGATCCACCCATGTCCGAGACCCCAGGAAACATCAAGTTGAAGACAGGAAGCTTCATGGCGTGGGTCAGGACACTGAAGCAGGAATGTGCCTGAGAGGGCAATGTCACCCCCTGGCTCCATCCTAAAATAGCATCAATATATCAGGACGAAAAAGGGCAGTCCTTTGGGCCCAGAGCCATGGGGAACGTACCCTCTTCCAAATACTCTGAGTCATTCTGGCCTGGGTCACCTCTGTGGCCTCCTGTGACTCAGGGTGTGGGGGCGTGTTCACAGCAAGCGAGAGCTGAAAAAAATGTGGAGGATGAAAGAGCAATGCAGACCATTTCCTTCGGCTGATGGAGGGGGACGAGAGCAGACTTCAGCAGGAGTGACAGTGCCATTAGAAGGCCTGTCGTTTACTGGAAGGGGTGCTGGCAGCGACCTTCAGGACGTGGGTTAGCAAGGGTCTCTGCCCTCACACTAAATAGGGGCAGCTCCTTGGCACGGGGGCAGGAAGCTGTCAGGCCAGCAGACAGGACGTAGGCCTTGGGCAGTAGCATTCAAATATCCAGTATGGACACTCTTGGACAACAGAGATTGCCTTTCTTGGGTCTGCTGTGGTTTTTCCACATTTTGGTTCCAAGGGAATAAAGGGGCTTTTTAGCAGCTAGATTGGATCCTGTGTTATTTTTAGAAACAAATTTCAGCAGCATCATGCCATGCTCATGGAGAGGGAGAGGAGGGCCAATCTCTCTTGGCTGTTGGAGTCAGGAGTTCATTGCTCCCAGGCCTCAGGTTCTGGAGAAGCCCTCGGGGGTGAGGGGAAAGCCACCTGGCCTCCGACTGAGGCTACATCTCATCCAACAAAAGAAGTGTGGTGGGCAGCTGCTCTGTCCCCAGGGATCCAGCAGCAGAGAAAGCAAAATAACATCCCTATGTGACGCAGACACTAGTCAGCGCGCCACACACTGGACGTCAGGCCTGGCTGAGACCCCATCACTCCCTCCACTCCACAACAGTCCCCTGCCCAGAGTACAGAGCCATCCCCCTTCTTTGCCTATTTCCACCTTCTTCAGCCCAATTGTTTCCTGGAAGTCCCAGACAAGCGGGCATGGGCTCCACGCTGAGCAGACAGCATCCGTTAGGCAGGAGAACCGGCACACTCCCCGAGATCCACGTCTCACCACCCCAGTGTCACTCATGCTGGCTCATGCGGCGCAGACAGAAGCCGCTGAGTCAGCTGGGGCTTCAGAAAGCCGGTTGATTATACTCCCTTGCACCTGCGCCGTGCTTTAGCGCCATGGTTCTCAAACTTATATGAGCACCAGGATCCCAGGGCAGGATAAATAGGGTAAAACCTGCTGCTGGGCCTGCTCCCAGTGTGTCTGATTCAGGAGGGCAGGGGCAGGGCCAGGGCCTGGGAACGTGTATTTCGAACAAGCTCCCTGGCAGGAGGATGCTGAGCCGCTGGTCTGGGGACTGCACTTTGAGAGCACTGCAGAGGCTGGGAAGTGTCTCTGTAGACACCACCACGAGACTCTCCAACGACACCAGGTTCCTGCAGTTTGAGACCCTCCGACGGGTGGGTCAGAACGTAGCCCTCGGATCCGGGCTGTAGGGGAGGCAAGGAGGGTCTCGTCACACATCTCCTGCCTTTCCCTCTCCCTCCTCTGGTCCTTCCAGGATGCTGATCTCTGCTTCTGTTCATCCCAGGGCAGCCCCCTTCCCCAGGGAGACCCATGATCTTCCCATGGGAAGCCCCTCTTCTGTGAGTCCTTAAGAAAAAACACTTAGAGGACTTCCCTGAACAGGCTGCAAGAGAAGCCAAGATTTATTCAGAAAGTTGAAACAAGCCACATTGTGACATTCACACCCCTTCCGGGCCAGGCGGAGCTCAGCACCCTGTGCACTCCTGTCCCTCGCTCCGTAGGACATGACAGGCGGCGGGGAAGCCCGGGAACAACACACCCACCACTCCCTTCGGGCTCCCCAAATATTACTGCCTCGTCTGGACCCCAGGCTGCCTTTCCCCTGCCTCGCCCATGGCCCCACAGAAGGGTGGGCCCCTGGTCCCGACACACCTCTCAGGGTCACACGGTTCTGGGGCCCAGGCAGGTCAGGCGTGGCTGGGGGAGCAGCAGCAGCTGCTGTTTTCCAGGTGGGGCGACAGGCTGCTATCAACACTTGTCTTAGGTTGCTATGGTAAAGTGAGTGCGCAGCCTGGCTACGGTGAAGCTATTTATGTGCCTGTAATGGCAGAGTGGGCTGTTTTTTATTATTTTACTTTTAAAGTTTTCCTTTCCCAGCCCCCAAAACAGCTTTAAAAAAAAGGGCCACCACAACTTTCTCAGGCACGAAAAGAGGATAGCCAGAAAATAGATCTTAGGACTTGAGCCAGCAAGGAGAAAACTGAAGTAAGGAAATATGGGCAAGTTCCTTTAAAGAAGGGAATGTGTGGCTTCTTGCCCATACATGCCTCGGCCATGTCTCATCAGAGAGAAAGGCCAAAACTCAGGGTCTCCTCATGTTTGCAACACTTACACTATTAAGAGAAGACAAGGCCACTTTGTCTTCTTTCTTCCTGTCAAGCCAGGCTCTAGTCAGCAGCATTCCTTGCAGCCCCCCGCTCCCCACCAGCCTCCACTGGCTGCCAGCGTCATCAGGATGAAGATACTGAGGATTTCGCCAGGTGTCAGAGGAAGAAAGCTTCAAAGCACGCCCCACCCATGGGTGCAGTGCCACCCAACATGGAGCCTGGCCACGCCCAGCTGGAGGCCTGCAGGGAATGATCTCCAGAGGTGCCTCTAAAAGGACACGTCTCCTCCACTGTACAGAGGACTTCCCTCCACTTCTCAGCACTCAGGGAGCTCTGGAGGGAAGGGACGGTCCTGCGGGAGATCTGAGGTTTGAGTCAGGTGCTGAGGACCCCTAGCCAGCACCCCTAGCAAGCATTCAAGCTTCAGACATTGAAGGGTGATGCAAAGCAAGGTTGGGGCCAGCCCGGTGGCACAGTGGTTAAGTTCACGTGCTCCACTTCAGCGGCATGGGATTCACAGGTTTGGATCCCAGGTGCAAACCTAAAGATCATTCATCAAGCCGTTTGCTGTGGCGGCATCCCACACACAAAATAGAGGAAGATTGGCACAGATGTCAGCTCAGCGACAAGCTTCCTCACACACGCACACACACAAAAGTAAGGTTGATTCCTCCTCGGACACATATGTCTCCAGGGCACCAGGCACATGGGAAAGGTTTTTGGCAGAGAGATAGGGAGTAATCAGAGATCAGCCACTAAATAAGAAAAAAGAAATGGGCTATGGATCATAGGCAACTCAAGATGGGCAGGAGAGTGGAAGGAACTAGTCCATGTGGTAATCACGCACACACAACTAAGCTGAAAGTGTGTACTGCCTTGATAAATACGCTACAGGTTGCCGATCACTAAATGAGATCTAAGTAAGAGAAATAGAGTCACCTTCCAGAAACAGCTGGTTGGAACACAAAAGATGCTACAGGATTTTATCCTCCCTCTCTCCACCTTATTCTAGCTCCTTTTGGATTGGTGTACCCTTAGTAGGAGAAAATCCCACTGCTGATGGGCATATTCATCAGGTAAAAGTAAAGTTTGGGCAGAGTTCAGAGCAAACCACACAGCCTGTTCCCATTCCTTCCATCTCAGGCTGTAGCTGAGTATCCTGCACACGCCACCACGGCTCAGAAAGGATACTGATGACAGGGAGGACAGAGGCAGGAGAAGGGGAAGCTGCTGCTGATTCCACCAGGAAGCACCCTCTGCTGCACCCGGAGAGGCCACAGTCCTAAGCGACAACCTGGGCAGCTGATGAAGTCTTGCTAGGAAAATCAGAACTTGGGATAGAAATCAGTCTTGGCAGCACTTGAGGTCAAAAAAGCAGAGCAGCCATGGTTTCTAAGGCTGTCAGACCAACTGTCATCAGCATCCCACTGTTCCATAGGGCAGGAAGGGAGAAGGGAGGAGGCGAGGAAAGGGTCCTGGACAACTGGAGCAGACTGACAGAAAGGACCACATGTGAGGCAGCGTCCAAGACACTGTGTGTCTGTTCCTAAGTCTCAGGGTATTAACTCAAGCAGAGCGGCCATTACTTGGGATTTCATTAAAAGATAAAGAGAAGGAGACATATCTCAGAACCCCTCAGGCAGACTAAGCTTCCAAAAGTCATATGCTAGAAAAACATCTATTCAAAAGGGCTCAGATCCCTGGTGATGGACACAGAGCCCATTCTTGAGACCAAGCGCAGGGAAAGACGTGACTCAGCCCCAGCTGGTCACCTCGATGGAAATTCCAGGCGAGGGAAAGCGGAGGGTACTGTGGATTCTTCTTCCAAATGAACAGAAAGGCTGAATCACCTCTCTCTCCCAACGTCTGCCCCAG